TAAATAAACTTAAAAATTAGCTTTTGCTCTTATCCAGTGGACTGTGTATAAACATATGAAGGTCACAGTTATTGTTGTATTTACCACTATGGCAGGTAAACTACAACATTTGATTGAAAAAACTGATTATCGGTGTTTAAGGTTAATGAGTGCTTTTGGTGTTTAGCTTACATGTGAAGTATTTGTTGGTTGATTTTAATACACACAGTACAAACAGTCCCTGTGAACATTCAAACTTGTTTGTTCTGTATAGGCTGATTCATATGTTGATGTTTATGTTTGCAGTGATCTGCCATGCTTAGTGTGATTGGACAACTCAAAGCTGAGCTCTGTGCAAATTCCATGCAGCTGGCTGATTGCGATTTCCATGTACTTCAAGGTCAACAACAATTCTTCATTGATCCCGCAGCCTTCGTCACCACAGAAGTGGAAGTGTAAAATGTGAATAAGGCTCTTGTTGTGTTTCTGAAATGGGTGGCTCTAGTGCCCTTGAATGCTTCTACAATGGCGATTGTGTTTTCACGGCAGGATATGAAAGGGCACAATGAGAAATAGATGAGAAAAAGCAGTCCATTTTGTCATGTGTGGTGAATGTAAACAGGGAGAAGACTGTGACAAGAAGCAGTGTCGGTGGTCATCTGTCAGTGCCTTCATAAGTACAGATAGCAGCTGATAATATTTCAATTAGGTCTTCATCTGCCATTCCTCTTCTGGTATGCTGCATACTTCCTGTGAAATAAATATCCCTTGGAGATGTTTGTGTTTTCTTTCAAACACCTGACTGTACAGTACATGACTATAATGGATATATTCCTCAACGCAGTGCAGTCTTTTTTGCTCTTGTTTTCCCAGTACAACTAAAGGTGAATATGAGAACTTAATGAAGCAGTTTTTCAAAAAATTGGAACTTTTCAAAGACAAACAGAAAGGTTTATAATATCCATGTCTTCATTAAAAAGCAAAGTTCTCTGTAGGCACTTTTGAAACAGAAGATGCTGATGATCATAATAACAAAGCTATGCAATGAAGGTATTTTTTATTTGTGGATACTCTGCATTAATGCAGTCAGCACTTATAATATTTTGACATTTTATCAGTACTTAATCAATGTCTCAGTCTTGACTGTTGTCTTTGGTTGCAGGATGCATTTGAAATGCCGAAGCTTTCTCAAGAACCTTGAAGTTTAACATTTTGCTTAAAACCTTTTTTTTTTAAATGTGGATTTTATGTTTTGGAGAGTTTACATTGCTGCTTACGTTGGAACACTTAAATCACCTTATAACAGAATCTTTTAGCAGATTCATATTTTATTGCAATATCTACTCTTTTGGGTGGACCTATTTAAATGTATGTCTGAAATATTAGTCTTTTAGGGTAAGAGGATTGTTTCTTCTACTTAGTTATGGGTACTCCTTTAAAATAGTTGTCCTAAAATATTATTTATCAAGCCTTTTACAGTATGCACTCAATATCACTAGGTTCATGGCTAACTCAGCTGTAATTCAACTAAACTGCAGTACTATAACAACACCAGTCATACAATTACAGTAATACTCTTTGGTTTCATTGCTGGAATTTGTGTCAGGAGTGGTGTGAAGTCTTGCTGTATGTTATTCATTTACCCTGTGCAAGTGCAACAGTGCTTTTCTCAAATGGATCCACTGTGAACTGCAATCTAACATCAAACCATGGAAGCAGCAAAGCAGTTCCGACCAGCTTCGACAGCTGTGTGCTGCCTTGTTAATTTATTATGTATTGTACTTGTTCAGCAAATGTAAAATTGGAAAAATATCTCCGCTGGTACCTAAAAATGCACATCTGCTCGCAGTTAATAATTGTGTAGACTACGTTGACCAAGCAAGAAGTCCCACACTAAGATTTTCTTTAAAATTGACCCTTTCTTGTTTTTAATTTATGGTGCTTAGCAAGGACATTCTGAACTGGGTCATACCCATTAGTGATATTAATAGGGTGACTGAAGTGGTAAACCACTCTGTTGGTCTCTCTTTGAATTCAGAGGAAAAAGAAAAGGAACAACAAACAAATAAAACAGGATGCTTATCCTCTCCCCCCCCCCCCCCCTCCAACCTTTCAGCCTGGCTTTGGAAACCCATTGAATTATAGCTCCTGCAAATGAAGTGGCATGTGTGGAAATAGAGGTGAATGAGTCAGTTTGCAAAGGGTGAACAAACAAATCAGTCAGCTATCTTTCTGTATGGTTAATGGAAATGTGACAGTGGTGAGTGATGGCTCGTCAGGTGGAAATCATGGCAGTGGGTCTGACTGCGATCACTATCCAAGAGCATGAGTTTCTGCTGTTTGCTTTAAGCCTGCCCAAATGCTGACTGCTTCTAATGTGGAGTGTTTGCTTGGCAAGCCGCCACTCACTAATCATTTCAGGGCCCTGTCCTTTATTTTGCCATCTTGTCTTTTTTTTAATCTTCCAAAATATTTTCTATACATTTCAAGTCAAAGCTTTCTTTCTTTCTGTATTTAATTTTTATACTGCATGTATACACTGTAAATATTACATATTACTGTGTGAAACAGACTAATTTATATTCCTATTCCATTATATACTGTATATGTACTGTATGCTTACCTTCTGTAAATGGTTCTTAAACCTCATATAGTACAGTATATATAGCAAAAATATGTAATCAGTTGCCTTTCAGAAAAGCAGCTTCTAGAGGTTTAGTGAGAATTTGTGTGTGATTCTAGTATTGAACTTTAAAACTGAATAATGAATATATATTTATTCTCATGTTGGCTATGACAGATTACCCCAAAAAAGAAGGATGCAGCAAAGACAACTAGTTTGTATAGTTTAAGGGTGTAATCTTGTGAAAATATCAAAAAGTTTAAAAACAATTAATGTAGAAGGAGATACTTGGAGGGTTAAAACGGTAATATACCAATGTTTTTGGATTGCTCATTTGTAGGTAAATGGAAGTGTGGTCTCTTGTATTATAGACAAATGTAGGTTCTGGCCTACATTCTGAATGGTGTTTTTCTGCAAAGCAAACTTAAGGTAATTAATGGATTCCAAGAAGGCTCCCCGCTTGGCAAACCTGTTCTCCGAAGACCGTGGAATACTGTACTTTTAAATGTAATGCAAATAGGATTAAACAGATTATTCATTTAGAGTCAGCAAAGCAAAAGGGTATTGCAGACTGTTGTGTCTGAGCAAACAATCATTGGAAAGAAGTTAAATTATTTCTTAATTAATAGGACCATTAAATCTCATTTTACTCTATTCCCTAGAAAGTAATCTCTTTATCTACTGTAACATGCTGAAAGGGGTGTGTTTTAAGGAATAAAACAGCCTTGCTGCCGTATAAAGGAAATTGGATGAAGGCATACATTAGCATAATCATAATGCTTTTTGTTGCAGTACAATTAGAATCCTAAAGATTTTAAAGAGATTAGTTACAGTACAGCCTCTCAGAACAATACCCAGAACATATGAAATTAGAAGTAGTAAAATTACATATATTTAGAATTAAAAAAGATCATCTTCACTTTAAAAAAAATGTGTAAAAAATTAAATGACATGGCCAGAGAATAGCTTGTAGCAGCAGTCTTTTCTGTATTGCAGATAAGAAAAAAAACACAGCAATGCAAATATTGACAAAGTGCTAAAAACAGCTGAGTGTTTTATGTACCTCAGAATCATCAGTCAGGCTAATGTAGGAATTTTAAAAGATATAGCCTAATTATTGATGATAACATTTCTGTATCAGTCCAATTTGGGACTTGTAAATATTTATATACATTATGCATATAAATAATTCAGTTTCGCTCAATTGAAATTTGCAACAAAAGTCTTTTTATAGAAGCTTATAAAAATAAAATAGGGGCACAGAAAGGAAATGTAATTTTGCAAGCAATTTGTATTAAGATCAGTAAATTATTAAAGTCCTATTTTTCATTTAACTCCTCCCCACAAAAGTCACGTTTTGCAGAAAACGTAATAAAGTATTTGCATGGAGTAATTGTAATGTTTAAAAGAGTAAGGTATGAAATCGGCTGTTGTACAGCACAGCAGTGACATGGCTTAAAAATTGTTGTTGAAACCACTCAGTGGTTTCCGTAATGGAAGTGACCCCCAAAATCAGCACAAAATGAGTAAAAATTAGATACCTGATCTTTGCATTTATAAACACAAAGAACTGAGTATAACTGCTGTCTAAATGTAGCTGACCTTCTTTGAAAGAATTAAGCAAAAATAAAAATTAGCTTTATAAAGGTTGTTAATTGATTAAATAAAATAAATTTAAAAATAAAAATATAAAGCTCTATGCATTATTTTATATATGGATTCATACAATAAAAGATAACACAAGGTACCAGTTTTTTTACATACAAAATACAAAAGTTATTTTTCTATATACTTTTATTATAATTGTATGCTTTTTTGTACTGCATAATGTTAAATGTCAGCTTGTTTGTTATGCAGACGCACCTGCCATTTCAGTTGCTGTTAGCAAGAGAACACATTCCTTACTTGGTAATGGCAGGGGGAATCACCATTTAACCTTTTCCTCCCACCAGTGTTCCCATTCCAGCGTTATAAATCATGGAACAGCTTGTGGAGCTGAAAGTAGAAGAAAAATGCTTTTTACAAATGTGCTAAAAGCTTTAAAAATAAATGAGCTTTTCCAACACTTTTTTGGCCATTCAGTATATTTCAAGAACATTTTAGGTACAGCGCACATTAAAATTGGAACACATTTTAAAAGTTTTTTTTTGTAAAAAGTACCTTTCTTGTGGCTTATAATAATTCGGGCAGATTTTGAAAGCGTTGCGATTTCTTTCTAACAGCCATTAAAAAAATATTTAAAATATCAATTTTTATACAGTTAAACAGTGGTAAACAGGCCTGATATGTGTTTAAGAACAAAGTAATTGGTTAGTAATAGTGATATGTGTTTATGTGTTTTTGTTTAGCTAGTACTTTTACTCATGAACTTACTAGCTTTTCATTTTTTTTCTTCCAGATTAAATGAAACCTCTTTCTCCTCTGCAAACACTGTGCGGTTTGATGCCTCAGAAGCTGCTCCGAGAACGACTGTAACACACGCTGCTATAGATTAACCGCCTCAGACTTTGGTATGCCAGGAGGACAGCTGTGGCACTGTCAGAATTGTGCATTGAATCCACAAAGCTGAAGCTCTCTGCCTCACTTACTTTTAATCAGGAACCATCACCTTGCTGCTTTCTAGACAAGTACAGTCGTACACTGTACTTTTCCTCTTTAAATTTCTTCTTTTTATGGCCTAACCTGCCATAGCTCTGGACTGTACATGGCTGGTACCCCTTCATTTGCAAGACCTGTGAACAAAGCTGGAGATGACCACACACTCCCACACTAAAGAAGAAACATACATTTATGTAGTATGTGTATATAGTAGATGTGTGTTTGTGGGTTTGTGTTTACAGCGTCTTCTGTAGTACAGAATTGGAAACTGGAACTGAGTTTAAAATTTTAATAATCAGAACCGGCTGGGAGCCCTACCTCAGAAAGAAAAAAGCCAGGTTATCTTTTGCAGAATAATGAATGGATTTCAGTTACTTTCAATACAGAATGTCTCACAAGACCAATCCAAAGCCTTACTGACTTTATCATATAGTATTTCTACTAAAGACTAAATGTTTGGACCTAAAATGAAAAAGAAAACAAAACATTTGCCATTAAGACCGAATGTTTCCTGATGGTAGCATGAAAACATGATGCTTGTTTTTCGGAATGCTCAAATCTATTAAATTAAAGACTCTTCTTATCTTCTTTTAGTAACTCTTTCATTTATGTTAATATAAATATTTCCAAATCTCATGAAAGGAAATCTGTTATCCAAAGCATAAACAAAATATATGGCCCCATGAGACATATATTTAAAGCATATTGAACATAAACGAAACTTGGAGGCTGACCCTTCACAATGAAAATGTAAACACACACACAGAAGCAGCTGGGTAACATTTCACATGAATACATATTGCCTTTAAGATGGATATGCTTCAAGCTTCCTTATTAAGTAGTAAAGTGAAGTTAAACCCATTAATATGTATTCCGTAGACAACACTATGTATAAATTCATTAACATTACCTGTTTTTAACCCTGATCTACCAAAGCTTTCTGTGGCCCCTTCCTGTCATTCATTGAAGTGTTTTAGTGGTATTGAAGTTGGCTGAAACAGTTACAGGCATTGAAATCAGGGATGCTTTGGAGGCATTAACCACCACTGCTGTATAGCTGATTACACTAAAGTGGGATAGGATGGAGTCTCATTTGGACCGCACCGAGCACTGACTGATTGCTGTAACCATTTCTTCATTCATAAACAGCGCTGGCTGCTCTTCTCATATTTATAATGCGTAGATTGTAACACAAGACACATTTGAATGTAGAGGATTCTTTTTCAGTGCAATCCACTGGACTGAAAAACAGAACTGTGGAGACCACATCCTATGGTCCGAGGTCATTTTACACTACGCCTACATTGCCTAACTTTGTAAATATTGTACAGATAACAGAGAATGAAAATAAAATGGGGAGATTTTGTTGGAAATTTAAAATAATTTATTCTACATACATAATAAAAACAAATCCCAGATAACCATAGTACTAAACAAAGTACAAGCTGAATGCAGCAGTTTGGTTTTCTTGACGTCATATTTTAGAATGGGCCTGTACAGCACGTACACATGTATGAAAACATGCCACTAAAGGATGAGATTTTATAACAATGCTGTAAGATCTGTAAGAAAATATGAAAGCAAAACTTGATATTAGAGTAGATCTTGCTACTTGAGGTACATTTCACCAATGGCATATGCAATATTTACATTTTTTTAAAACGATTTAGTTTACAGAATGGAACCAAATGTATAAATATTATGTTAATAGGTTTGCTAAACCTTAAAGAGAAATGAATATTTGCTATTTGTACATTTTATTTCTGCCAACTTTAAATGGAAAGATTTTTTTGCTATTGGAACCTAACAGTAATTAAAGCAGTGTTTTCCTTATGAGTATGTATATCTATTGTTTCTTGATATCAACAGGTTAAATATTACAAGAGGCCTAATTTATCTTGCTGTGTCTTCCATTGTATATACTTCATATAATGTTTAATGTAATGCTGTAAGAGATGATAATAATAAATTAAAATAGTGTAGTAAAGTATTGCTTTAGTCTGTAATGATTATGGATAGCCATATTGCAATAAAATAACATTATTTAAGAAAAAAATGTTTTTCCTTTTTTATGGCGTCTTTCCTTTTTAAAAATGCAATTGTTTTAATATTTAACAAAAGTTTGTGTCACATAATTAAGCAATGTTGATTGGTGAAGTTAGAAGATCAAACCTGCTTTCTCTTGGTGTGAATCTTGTTATTCTAAGCTTTGAGTGTCACTGTTCTAAATCATAATTTAGTTTTACCAGTATCATTATAGGACTGATCTGCATCTAAGAAGCTGTCACATAAGAATGCAGAATAAATACATACGGAGCAGTTCAGTGTAATTCATAAGTGAATGCAGATGTTAATATTGTTTTTTTGCTTTTCTGAATGAGATCTTTAACATTATATTCTTGCACCACACGAACTCTGCTGTCTGGAATACAGGCCATTGGTGTGATCCTCAGCTTTCACTCTGAGACTGAGGAGCCTGTATCCTGTTCATCTGAAGAGCAGGTCTGTTGTTTGGAGCAACAGTACAAAGGCTGCAGAACAGCAAAAACTGGAAAATAGCAAATAGACAATCCAAGTGCATCACATTCATAACAGGAACACTTAATTGCTGGATCTTTGCATAAACAACATCAACAATAGCTGTGCCTTTGTTCAACAGTGAGCAGCCTCATTTGTGAAAGTGAGTAGAATAGTAGGAACATTCTAGGGAACAATATATTTTTAATCAAAGAATGAAAACTTATGTTCCTTTGATCTGAGGTTAATGATCTTGCAATTCTTGAATAACTTCTTTGCTTCACACTATTTTGTATATTTACAAGGTTTTTGAATGGAATAATGAATGTTTGCATATATACAGTATTTCTACCATTGGTATTGTATTTCCTTTGTGGAAATATGTTATATAAAATGCCATTTCGTTATGCATTTTGTTGCATTTTTTAACTCCTTTTACTCCTTTTCAAAACAAGGGGAGATAAATTCCATTTGCACAAAGCTGTGAATCATATTGTATGCCCTGTTTTGCGAATAATTTGAATGGTTATGTTATTTTTTAAAATATTTATCTACAGGATGGTAATTAGTTAATGGGATTATATCTATTATATTATGGAATATGCCTGGAGCCATATGTTACTGAATTATACATTTTCTCATTTATACTAATTAAAATATTAAGCAAGGTGCTGTGAAATCTGGAATTCTATTTTGTGGCGTTTGGAAGCTTTTAAATGTTTCTGTTTTAATCCCAGGAATCTAGCCACAGTTCAGAGTGTTCTTGTTTTGTTTTTTAAGTTAATTCCTTATCTTGTCTTGTAAATTAAGAGTGCTACAATAACGTGGGCAGGCTTTTCTAACAAGGCCTCCCAAGTCTCAAAGAAAGAGCATCTCCTGTCAGCCTTTCCCCAAACAGACTGTGGTTAAATGAGCCATGCTAATGGGGTTTGTCACAAAACATCTAGCCTAGCCAATGATGATCATTCCTGATGGTGAAGTATTCTGCTCCACTGAAGACCGAGGTGGTGCGAGAGAACCATCGAGGTGCGTTCCTGAGACTGCCAGATGAATATGGGCTGCCATTTCAATAGCTCAGAAGCGGAAAAGCAAAATCTCCAGCGGACCGTCACCTGCTGTGCACTGTTTTGAGGCAGGTCACATTCGCAATGCTAGCGTGTGATACAGCAATTGCTCAGTGTCTGCATCATTTACAGCATTAAGCAGTTAGAAGGGCTGCCTAGCTGCCATTAACTGTGTTTGCTTTTTCCTTTGCATTTGAGATAATGCGCCTGCATTTCCCCCTTTCTTTCACAAACAGGTTGAAGCTATTATGCAAGGTTATTATGTACAAATACCTATATGGTTACCATTACCGCTTCACACTAGTATATCCGGAGATGATATAAAGCCAGCATTTACTGGTTGCATTTATATCTGTACCTAATGACAGCAGATTGGGCGAATACTGCTGATACTGAAACAAACTGAGTATGATATAATTTTAGTTCCTATGTAAAACAGTATATGAAAACATTTTAGTCAATTTGCAGTAACCCTTTTTACAACTGAGCACTGTTGAAATACAAATGCGCAATTCATTCAAGAATATGTTCTGAAATCACAAATGTTTTGTAAGTGCAATAATGAGCACAGTTGTTTAAATAGGGACACACAATAAATACTACACAGAATATACAGTATGAAAGTACTGGACAGTGGGATATATATGATCTTAGGCAGATATGATTTGCTTATAATTTAATTTGGGGTCCTTGAATATTATACTGTGCCAGTGCATTCAGAATTGTCTAAAACGGCAGGGTTAAAGTCAAAAGCTTAAATGTGCCACATCAAAGGTAACTGTTTTAAGATCAATAAACTGTGCAAACATGTGAGTTTTGAGGGAATAGCAGCAGATGTTGAGAGAGAGTGTGCAGTTTGGATGTTCTCAGGTAGCCAGTTTCACCAGAGGTGTGGGTAAGGTGGAGAAATGTGTGTGAGGCTGGAACCAGACTTACACCTTCTTAGCTTCAGTGGGTTGCTAGTTGTGAGTTGCAGGGTGATATGGCTGCTGACATATACAGTATATAAGCAAAATATACTGTGAAAAATATCAGTTTTATTAGATATGAATGGAGTAGTTATGGGGTTGGTATGGAGTATGGAATTGAAAATAAATAGCAACCCCACCCTGTTACTGGCAGTTGCTTCACCATCAAACAATGGAGGTAAAATTGTAAACTGCAGATGTACAGTACTGTTGAAGGTTAATTATCATTTGGATATGAAAGTTACATTTAAAGAGTGACCGTGTCTGACAATAAATATTGAAATCTAGTCAGCGCATCATGGAGTGAAAGAGTCATTGACTGATTTTAAAAATGTATTTTGACCTAACACCAGACTTGGGGTCAGTTACAACGGTAATTCTGTAATTAATAATTAATTACCATTATAACTGTAAGTATAGAGTAATATAGCTGTATTAATGCTGCCTTGTAACACTTGCATAATTCACAATATACTGCATTATTCACCTTATTGATCGGCTTCAGTTCATTTACACCTGTGGCATGCATATATTTTAAGAAATGTATACATGATTGAATACCTTTCAGAAGATTTGTGCTGAATGACAAGTGCAGCAGCATTGTTGGTTTTATACTAGAAGGTGCTGGATGAACAGAAATCTAAGCAAAAAGTGATGATTAAGAGCCAATTATTGAAAGAAATGATTTAAGCTGTTACATTCTCATTAGCACGTGTGATGCATTAGTCAAAATCTGAAATCTTAACAGGATGGATTCTGTCTGCAGCAGTTTGTAGATTTACAGCTGATTACAAAACCTGACACATTTTTAGAAAATGAGCTTGCAATTTGCCACTTACATATTCTCTCTCATCCCTTAAGACTAGTCTTTTTCTTGCTTACTGGTAAGCTTGCTAGTTAGTGAAATAAAATTAGCAGCTGCAAAACACCAATTATTATCTCAAATAACAAACCTGAAAAAAAATCTGTACTCCTTTTGATGAAACTCTACACAGAACAAATTCACTGAAGGGTGTAGACTTACAGTGCTTCTTCCTTT